TAGGATGTTGTTGATCCGTAGTGATTTGCTAAATTTATGTATATATCCTTATATGATAGGATGCAACAATAGTAGCATGTTGGTTAGAGTACCAGTAAGTTGGTTATCGTCTAGTGGAGTGCCATAGGGGTTATATGTAGTCATGTAGGATGACCTGAGAACTTTTGATCTAGGTTTTTTTGCATGTTCCTTGTTTGGTTGTGGCTCTAGAGTAGAGTCATCTATTCGGGTGGCTATCTCACCTTTGGTTATGTATGGTTACGCATTTCATAGAGGTTAGATAGTAGCGAAGCAGTGTGCTATGAGAGGACTAGTAGGCGATAGTGAGATGTATGATTTATAATTGCCTGTATTTTGTGCCTACTTGATCCTTGATTATTTATATGTCGACATATGGTGGTGGGATAGGTTGTGGCGGTCCTACTATGTGTTGTAGGCCAAGATACCTGGTGCGGGGCGACTGTAAACCGTAGGCACGGAGGCTCGAGAAGAGCGGTTGGGTTGAGGCGGCAGGCCAACAAACCCTGGGAATTCCAGTCCAATGACTGATTAAACCTGGTGCATGTTGGCATTCCAGTCTGATGACTGATTGGGCCAAGGTATTCCAGTTTGATGAGTGTGGGTCCGTTATGCATGATAATACGTTTGTTGTATGTGGTATTTTGGGGGAAACTCACTAAGCTTTGTGCTTACAGAGTTGTTTATGTTTTTAGGTTCTATCGTTGATTGTGGGAATGCGAAGGCAGGACTGTACACACTCATCAGCAGTATTGAGGATTCCCCGTTTCTTATATAACTCTGATTTTCGATAAATGTATTTTGGAATAAACGGTTTGTCTTAATAATGGATTTATAATTAGGGAGTTTTTCCTTATTTAAAAATGAAAATTTTTTGTTGTGAAAATGAGACGTTACACATAAGCATCAACAGCCCCACACACTTCATCAATGATTGTCCCACGTAAGATGTCGTGAGAAAAGCCTAAAGAAATAATTCATAAGTACTGAATGAGTACAAAAACAAAAATGACTTATTTTGAAACAAAAAAATATTAAGGACTAAATGTGTACAAAAATATTAAGGACTGAATCTGTACAAAATGAGAAATATATTACCCTATTAAGTCAACTTTGCCGGCTAGAGATGGAAATGGGGCGGGTTTGGGGCGGGGTTGACAATCCCTGTCCCCATCCCCGAGTGTCTAACCTCGTCCCCATCCTCATCTCCATCCCCGACGGATGTGGGGAATCAAATCACGTCCCCTTTGTATTTTGGGCTTTTCCCCAGCCCATCCCCGGCCCATCCCCAATCTATCAACATAATAAACTCAACTTAAACAAAAAAACCAAGGTTAATAACCGATCAAAACCAGATGTCATAATCCGATTCTGTTTATATTAATCATAACAAGCATCAAAACAAAAAGTGACGATTTGGTATACAGATCATCGAACGAAGTGACGATTGATGAACTATTGGAATTGGGAACATAACTTGATATACAGACTCTATCTCTGATGGTCTAATATAGATCAATTCATTTTAGTGGACATAATTCAAATTCAATAAATGATCGATATATATATATATATATATATATATATATATATATATATATATATATATATATATATATATATATATATATATGTATAGTCATCAAAGCGGGGGGCGGGACGGGTTGGGGAATGTTATACCCGGCCCCGACCCCATCCCCAGTTTTAGCATAATGGGGATCCCCGGCCCCGTACCTGGTACCCGTTTTGGCGGGGAATACCCGTCCCCGATTGGGACAGGTCAACCGGGTTCTCCACCGGGTCGGGTGAAATTTCCATCCCTATTCCCGGCTAACCTGGAGTAACTGGTCATAAGGATAGAATGTGTACAGTTTAACAAGTTGAATGGGTAAATGTGGACGAAAAAAAACTCAGTGACCAAATGTGTACAAATCGAAAAATATATTACCCTTTTAAGTCATTATCCCATAATGAAATAACTAAAATGCTCATGTTTTAATTATTTAATTATTTTTTTGTTTTTTAGATTATTATTAAAGTAAATTAGAATAAACCACCAACAACGCATGTACACCTCTACCATTATTTTTCAGCACTAACACTACCACCGTATACAACCACACCACCACAAAACCCTACAATTTTGACAAAACCCGACGGTCGACGAGTCTGTGCCACCGGTTCCACCATGGATGTCGATAATTTTCGTGGTGGAGGAGAGTGTTAGAGATAGATCTATGACTGGATTGTAGGCAAAAGAGAGGGGGGAGAGAAAGTTTTTGTCGTTGTGAGAGATGTCGGTTCTGTGAAGCAGTTGGAGAGGGCGATGGTGGTGTAGGAGCTGCTAGATCTATGAGGCGGTTGGAGAGGGGGGGGGGGTGGAGAAGAGGCGGAGAAAGGAGGAAATAGTGGAAACGAACAATGAAGTAGGGGCGCCAATGTCAATGAAGATGACGGTTAGGCCGTCGGAGTACCGACAGAGACATAGAATTGGAAAAAGACAAAAACAATAACATTTTCGTCATTCTACTACCTTAAACGACATGAGACCAAAACTGACGGACAGCCATAGGGTGTAATCTTATAAATTGTTTTTATTTATATAATTTTCAATAATATTTGTTTTTTTTTTAATTTCAAAACTCAATTAAAGATTTCTTTATATATTATATATATATATATATATATATATATATATATATATATATATATATATATATATATATATTCAATTATAATTATATCTCAAAATTTCATAGTATCTAGTTTTTTATTTATAATTCGTTTATATCATATATAATCCTTTTTATCTATTTACAACACATATTTTGAACGAGATAAATACTTATATGCAATTTATTTAACGATATATTTTTATGTAATTATAGTTTAATATTATAAAATAACATTTACTTATTTAACTATTCCACTGCAGTTATTTTTCTGTTTTGCTAATAAAAAATATATTTTTGAAACTTTGAATAACTCCTTTTATTCCTTCGAACCAACAAAAAATAACCATAGAATGTAATGATCTATTCCTATTTTATTCATTCCATTAAGTTGTTTATTTTTTTTCATTGTTGTTTATATTTCATCATACCAAACAAACACATAATACATATTTTAAATGGAACTTTAAATTTAAAAATATATTTTAAAATCATCGTTTAAAATGTCCAAAAACACAAAATATTTTAGATATCTTAATAAATCATAAGACAATACTTATACGGTTCCTGAATATATATATATATATATATATATATATATATATATATATATATATATATATATATATATATATATATATATATATATATATATATATTTATGACTTTAATAGGCATAAAATCAATATAGTGATTTTTGGTGATTTATTCTGATCGCGTTTTAATGACATTTGCTCTATTAACTACTTAAAGGAATCGATCACCAAAGACGATTTTTTTCTTCATGTTGAACCCTTGCCAATGATATTTTTTGTTAATAATACGGATATATTTTTTTTATTTGTATACATTTGGTCTCTAAATTTTTTTTCGTCTATATTTACCCCTTCAACTTGTTAAACCATACACATTCAGTCCTTATGACCGGTTAGTCCAGGATAGCCGGGAAAATGACTTAATGGGGTAACATTTTTTTCATTTTGTACACATTTAGTCCTTAATATTTTTGTACACGTTTAGTCCTTAATATTTTTTTGTTTCAAAATAAGTCTTTTTTTATTTTTGTTTTCATTCAGTACTTATGAATGATTTCTTTAGGCTATTGATGTTTATGTCCATTGCGATCTCGACTTTTTGGTTGCGTAGGTCTTGTGGTTTGGCTTAGGTCATGTGTTCTGAACGTCATAACTTCTTCATACGATATCAGATTTTAACGATCTTTATATTCACGTGTTCGTTTTTTGAGTCTACTATAACTTTCGTTAAGATTACTCCCATTAAAATGTAATATATTTTTACTAACGATTTTATTAAAAAAAACATTCATACATGCATTCATAAAAAACGTATGGATATAAAGATCGTAATTACAAATATATTACTTTTTAACGGAAGTAATATAAACGAAACTTGTAGTAGACTAAAATACGAAAGCATGAACATAAAGATCGTTAAAATCCGAGATCGTATAAAGAAGTTATGACGTTCATAACATATGACCTAAACAACTAAGTAGTCGAGATCGCGATGGACATAAGCATCAAAAGCCTCAAACACCTCATTAATGATTGTCTCACGTAAGATGTTGTGATAAAAACCTAAAGAAATCATTCATAAGTACTGAATGAGTACAAAAAAAAAATGACTTATTTTGCAACAAAAAAAAATATTAATGACTAAATATGTACAAAAATATTAAGGACTAAATGTATACAAAGTAAGAAATATATTACCCTATTAAGTCATTTTTACCTGCTAACATGGAGTAGTCTGTCATAAGGACTGAATGTGTACAGTTTACCAAGTTGAAGAGGTAAATGTGGACCGAAAAAAAAAACTCAGTAACCAAATTTGTAAAAATCAAAAAAATATATTACCCTTTTAAGTCATTATCCCTTAATAATAATGGGATATTTTGACCAGCTCTTCATAAATATAATACCTATCATATGTTATTATATTATTGGCTTTTTATTAAACATTATCGACTCATTACAATTCAAAAATCAATTGCTCTTTATTTGACATTTAAAGTTAAAAATCCAATGATTAATGATGATCGCATGCATTTTGGGTGAAGAATGAGACTAGATAGAGTCCAATGCACCCTACCAACACAAAACATACACAACATCACATAGTGCCAAACCATCACATCCATACACCACTACTTAAATAAATGTAATTATTGACCTATTTTTTGCATTTAGGAGTTTTTATATGTACCATTTAAGATCCCAAATGAATCTAACTTTTAAAAGAGTTAATGACATTTAATAACAACATACCTTCGCTGATTTGTTTATATCATCCTACTTTCATGTCTTCCTATTACAACATTGTACTTTTTAAAAACCTACCCAATTAAATCAACGTCATCAAAATACAAAGCAATTTTGAGTGCTATAATTGGCTCCTATCATAACAAAAGCCACTAAATCAAATCTAGAAAGTTTGAGGCAATGATACACATCAACAAAAATACTAACATCTAATTTCCCATAACTAAGAGATTATTATTAGTGAACAGAACAAAATTGGGTTTTTCAAAATTCTAAAAGGAGCCTGTTGCCACCTCTGTTCTTGTATCGATGTGGGCCCCACTCCCACCATTTAAACCAATCTTTACTTCATCATTATTCATCCCACCTTTTCTCACCTTACCCTTGTTTGTTCTTGAATCCACAACAGGAATAGGGGCATTACTCAAATTCATAATCTCATTCTCAGACCCTTTTCCCATATCAACTAGAATCTTTTTAAGCTGAGGTTTTTGACACACGATTCTACCCTTGTTCCATCCAGGTAAACAGAAAGATGATGAAACACTGTCTTTCAAAATCGAATACACCATTTTTGCAACTGGAAAATCTCTTGTTATGGAACTCTTCTCCATCTGTCCTCTTCTGCTTCACAAAAAGATTTATAAGAAAACTTGCATAAAAATAAGAAACTCCAAATTATTATGTTTACAAACTTACACTACAACTACTGAAGCTAAATGAGGAAGATCCTCTTTTTCCTTTAACATCTCTCTCATGTTCTTAAACCAAAGTGATAGAGCTGTACACGCACCCCCAGGCCACAACCTAAGAATCATTTTTAAAAAATATAAATATATAAAAATGATTATTATTATTTTCTGCAATGTGAATATTTGATATTATTTATATTTTATACCTGTGTACATCAACAGACCATATACGTTTGCTCTTACGGAATATTTCAGGGAAAAGACCTCTTTTTGTTGCTTCTTTAAGCACTCTTGTAGCTCTTTCTTTTTGACCTAACCACCAAAGAGCTTCTAGAAGTGTGTTGTAGAATCTTAACCCTAATCCACGCCCTTCTGTGTTTAATTTATCAAAAACATATTCCACCATTTGCCAATTCGATTCATCATCATAATCTCCCCTAATCATCCTCCCAATCACTTGATGAATGTTTGATGAATCACATCTTATCATCTCATCCAACAACTCATGTGCATCATCCCACCTGAAAAATCAAAGTAAACACCATTGATTTAATTATTTGGATAGCTATTAACTTTTAACTATTATCTAACCTTTCAGATTTTGCATAGATTGATAGCATCATGCAGTAGCTCATGACACTAGGCAACTCCACCATTTTCTCAATTTCTTCAAACTGTTCTTCACTTTCATCTACAAGACCTGCAAAGCAGTAAACACTCAAAACTGCTTCAAGTGTACGTTCATCTGGATTACACTTTGCTTTTTCCATATCAACATATGCTTTGATAGCATCTTCAAATTGTCCCCCTTGTCTAAATGCTTCAATCACTCCATTGAAAGTATCTGTGTCACCCGAAACACCAACTTCACTCATTCGCGACACTATTGCTTCACTTTCTTTGTATAATCCCCCTCTTGAAAACACATCAATCAAAGAATTAAATGTTTCAATAGTTGGATTCCTACCGAGTTCATTCATTGTATTGAAAGTGACAAGAGCTTCTTCATATAATGCAGCTTGTCCATAAGCTTCTATGATTCCAGTGTAAGCTTTTGAACTTGGGACTAATCCGTTTTCTCTCATGTGTAGTAAAATCCTTTTAGCATCTTCATGAAGTCCTCCTTTCCCACATGACACTATTAATCCTTCATATGTTTCCATATTTGGGTCGATTTTCTCATCTACCATATCATTGAATAAAGTTATCACTTCTTTGAAATACCCACCTTCCCCAAAAACATCTATAAGAATGTTGTATGTGGCAGCATCTAGTCCCATACTGCTAACTTTCATTTCAAGAAAAAGTTCACGAACTTCATCATATCTTCCTTGTTTCCCAAAAAGATTCAATAGAATAGTGTAAGTCGTTGCATTAGGTATACAACCAGCAGTCTGCATTTGCCTAAACACATCCAGTGCATCCTTTGTTTGTTCCAAATCTGAGTATGCTTCCAATAGGACATTATAGCATGATGCTTCAGGTAAATTCCCTCTTGATTCCATCTCCATAAGGAGGTCTGAAACCTTTTTAAGATTACCCAATTTGCCAAAAGTTTGAACTAAGTAATCGTAACTAGTGGTATCTGGTATTGTTCCACCTTCGTTCATGGTTCTGAAAACCATTACAGCTTCATCGCCTAAGCCTCTATTAGCACAAGTAGCGAGAAGAGTGTTATAAGTAACTAAATCTGGTTGTAACCCTTCATGTCGCATTTCAGCAAATAAACTCAATAAGCCTTCCCAGTCATACCCACCTCTCGCACAGGAGTTTATCACAGTGTTGTATGTCAAGATATTGGGGGAAATTCCTTCTTTTTTCATTCTATCAAGAAGCTGTAGGGAAGTTTCATACTGACCGTTTCGCCCATAGGCATTGATGATCGAGGTATATGAAAACACGGTTCTAGGCACCCCTTCGCTGGGCATTTCCTCGAACACGTCGTAGCATTTGTCAAGAAGACCTTCACGACCCAAAATCCCGATAACAATCGTGTAGATATGATCATTCGGCTTCGACCAGACCTGCCGCTGCATTTGCTTGAAGAGACGTAAAGATCTTTGCCAGTCTCCACGTTGTGCAAGCTCTTTGAAAACCAAAGCAAAGTCATTGAGGCTAAGCTTGTTCTTGAACGGCTCCAAGCAACGAGCTATACTGCCCCGTGGGGGTAAGCCGGATAGTTTATTCAGTAGGCTTTCAACTTCATAGCTGTACTTGCCTTTTTCGACGCTGTTTGAAGGGTATCCAAAGACCAGTTCTTTCGGTTTGGGTTTGGATCTGGTTCTAGATCGGGAGTTGGGTGGTTTAGCGAGGGAGCTCTCGCAGATTACTATTGACCGGCGCCCGGCAAATTTGAAACCTCGGGTGCTAAATTGGGGGAAATTGTATTCCTGTATGGTGGTTTTGTTGGCACTACGGATGAGAATTGGCGAGATGGAGTGGTATGAAAGTGTCATCTTGTTGTTAGGGTTTTAGTTCGCATGAGTTGACGATATGTTTTACTCTCAGAAATTGAAAATTGACCTTGCTTCCCGAGTATCTCTGTGTATTTAAGAGGGAGCCAGAGGTGCAACAATGGAGCTTGAGCTGCAGCAGGGTAGAGGATGATGATGAAGAAGAAGGCACTGACAGTGGCTTCGTTGTGGATAACAGGTTTTATTTGCCGCTTAAAAGAATTGGAGGAAGTGCACTAATCGACCTTCTAGTTTGAAGTTCGTATCTTAAACCCCTTATGTTTTGTTAAGCACATAAGACCAAACGGAGTGGATGGTCCCTACGCTCTCGCTAGGCTCGCTAACATGAAGAGAACGCCGCCCCCTAGCGCTTGCTAGGGGGCTCGCTAAGGGATGGTCGTTGATAGCTTGGTGAGAAGAAAGAGAATCAGATGAAGCAATTGGATTGGTTGAAGAGGGGTTGGACGGATTGCTTGAAGGTTTGACCGAAATGTGTTTTTTTATCCCCACCTAATTATCCCCAAACCTCTAATTTTTCACCATGTATTTGTGTGTGTTTTGAGAGAAACAACGATGGAAGGCGATAGAATTGAGGCAGCGACATTGGCGAATTCACTATATGAAATTTCGCATTTGTTCTTGATATCGGAGGTAACTAGTTCTCCCGATTTTCATTGCAGTTGAATGATTCCGTTCGATTTTTCTTTTCTTTTCTTCGAATTTTTGGTATTTGATTCAACCAATTCTCCCGCTGATTACTATTGTAACTCGATTGTTGTTTACCACACACATAACGTAACGAAAGTTACTAATTACTATATAATCAAGTACATTATTCACACTTAGTAACCAAAATTGATGAAAAAACTTTTGGAAGAAGATCATGATCATAAATTTTGGTAACAATTGCCAACGATCGGTAAATTTATGACACAATCTTTTCAAAAATGGAATTTTTATTTGGGACGTGTTACAACTCTCCCCCACTTAAATTAGATTTCGTCATCGAAATCTTTCCATACCATCTCCGGCACGCCCAACAACTTGAGCAACACCGCCACAAACCCGAGCATACCCCAGCCTTCCCAAGGCAACCGAAACCAACCCTTGCAGGGCTCTACAACCTGAAGATGAACGAATCCCTTGCAACATCATCACATTTACTCAATCTGAAATCTGAAGTCTCGAGATAGTCTGACTCCATGACAGACCGCCCATACTGAATCATTGTTGAATCCATTCCACTTATCTCCCAACTGACTACTCAACTTCTGATAACTTGAGGTTCCCCCTAGAAAACATAATCACATACCAAATATCCCTGCAGAACACTTATACTTGACAGAAGGCTCGAATAATCCTTCGAGTAGGAGACTTATCCCTGTAACGGTTAGACTCAGACGAGAGCTGCGCAATATGATCAAATCATTTACTCTGGATTATCCAATCCCAACTGCAAGTGACCTAACATCTCCTTCGAATAACAAGCTACTTCCACACACGAGTTCCAAATCAATAATATTGCCTTCACTTATCTTGATTCCCTTCACTAATAGAACCAATCCAAGACACAATCACAAGAGCTTGATCTAACATCAAAACTGAATCCATTCCTTACCCCTTAAACCCTGCGATTGATGCCCTCGGCATATAGATACCCTAAATTCTTATCCCATGAAAAGAGAATCCTACACATAAACATCCGTGATTCCCAACTCCAGATCTCACCTAAAAACCAACCTAAAACTTAACTTCATAACCCGAGATCCACAGATTTGCGCTTGCATTTCACCCAAAACCTTCTAATTCATGACAATCCCTCACTAGATCGTGATATAAAGGTTCCCAACCATCGCTGAGACTACCAGTCTCGCACCTGGTCCCACCACCAGGTTCCCAAATCACGACGCTACCCAGCCTATAAACCCATTGGCGTCACACACTGACCACCCACTTAATCCTGCAACTCAAGATCCCAAAACCTTGACCCAACGGTCTCTACAAGGTCCCACTAGTATTGCCATAATCACACGGGCCTCGCCCACGGGTCCCACCCAAATAAACCATAGAGCGGCCTCACCCACGAGTCCCACCCGCCTAGAGTTATACAGGCCCGACTCCGCCTCGAACCCCAATGGTCCTCAACCCAAAAAGAGAAATATTAATCGGCAATCCTGGCCGGCGTGCCCAAGGCACGAACTGATTCCCCCTTTACTGTGACAACCCGGAACTTTAATCTTGAACACTTAGTAAATTCAATCAAAGTTAGGCGTGTTCTGTTGACTTCTTGTACTGTTTAAGGGTTCATTTAAGCATTCTAATCTTGAGTATAGCCAAGGTTGGGGTTAGGAATGAGTCAGCAAACCATAGGGTGACAAAACCGGGCCATACACACCTTCAGGAGGAGTGTACGGTCGTACACATGCGTGTGCGGCCGCACACCCCCCATATGGCCGCATACCCACCCTATATAAAGGGTAGACCCATTTCCTTTCATTCCTTTAACATCCTGGCATCACACAACACCTTTTCTCTTAAGACTCTTCAACCGCAAACCCTCCCAAGGCTTCAAAAACGTGAGTAATCCATCCCTTAGCTTGTTGAACTTGAAGAACCACTTCATCTAAGCCTTGATTCATCAAGTTTCATCATGTTCTTCACTCCTTGAAGGAGTGAGGCCGCACACCTTCATAAGGTTGGCCGCACACTCCTAAAAGACCCTCCAAGGTGAGAGTTGGACTTCCATCTTCAAGATAGACATGACCCTAGCCTTGTTGCACCTTGGAAATGTGCATTTTGGACATTAACTCGTTGGGTGTACGACCGCACACTCAAGTGTGCGACCACACACCCAAGTGTGCGACTACACACCCAAGTGTGCGACCACACACACATTCTAGGACCACAAACCCATTTTTAGGACCCTAAACTTGTACTACAACTAAGTATGGACCTAGAACACTTCATGGATGCAAGTATGGACCTTGAAAACACCACAAAGTACCTTTCATCATGAGTGTACGGCCGCACACCCATGGCCGCACACACCTTCAAGGTGGCCATACACTCCCCTCATGCAATCCTTTAAGGTCCTAACACTTAGTGTGAGTTGTTCCAAGTCCCTAGAGTGGTTCTCCATCACATCTAGTAGTGAAGTATCCCCATTTGACTCCTTTATGTGTCATTACTTGTTAATTAGGATCAAATCGTGTTCAAGGTTTCACTTGAACATCCGACATTCCGTATCGATCTTTCCTTCAAACCACTTACCCGAGGTGAGTTCATACCCCTACTCTTTGTCCGAGTTTTTCATGTTTTCAGGGGGGAATACAAGCAAAAGTACAAGGAAACTTGTGCTCAAAGTATATTTATTTTGTATAAGATAATTATATTTTCAGTATGTTTTTAACCACGGAAAACAGTTTTACCAAACGATTAAGAAATCAACTCGCAGAAATAGTTTTCAAAACTAGAGCAATGAACTTATGAATCCTATAGTAAAATGTATCATTTTATAAAGAATTCATGTTAATCATAAAAGGATTTTTGTTTATATTATTACTTGTAAATTTGTTAGTCTAAGTTGGAGACACGTCCTTGGTAACACTCCCACAGAATCAGAGTGTAGGACTAGCACTTGTGACCAGAGTCTCTTGTAGGGAGAGTGTGACTGTTGTGTATAGATCTATAAGGGACTGATAATCCTGCACCTTGCTGCTAGCTACAGTCGTACCGGCAGGTCTACGGGTGACAAAGTCATTAAGGATATCGGCAGTTGCGGGACATATCCAGTCAGTTATGGTCATGAAACTCACAATCTAGATAACAGGGATTTACTTTTGTAATAATGAATCAAGTGAACTAACCTCAAAGTAATAACCGATTTAATTACTGGAGGGTATTAATAATAATATCTTCAGGACTTAGTTCATCACGGTTTTCTTTTATTTAGTTTTTAAGGCTAATATACCTCTCTGGGTGTAACCAGGGTTTTTAAAAGAAAACTGTTTTTATTAATACGAGTATGGTAGATACTTGCATACCACAGTTTAAAACGAATAAACAACCATCAACCTTTAGGGAAAATATAGGATTTTCCCGGGATAAACCGGCTATTCAAAACGGATTTGTTTATCATGTAATCAACGGATATTCATATTCATTCCACGACACCTTGGATTGTATGTATCTTGGTACGAATCTGGAAGTCATGGAAGGAATGGGTTTTCAAACATGCATTTTATAAGAAAATATAGGATTTTCTTGAGGAACACTTTTCAAAAGGATTCAAAGAACATTTTTCCACCAAAACTAAATGCTTATGAACTCACCAGCTTTATGCTGATATTCTTCAAAACTGCTTGTATTCTCAGGGAATTAGTAGACAGGTACTTCCAGGAGTTCGGAGAAGTCAGAGCGTTAGAGTCACGTCTTTACTATTTTACTTTTGATATGAACAAAACTATGTATTAAACAATGTAAACCTTTTTCATGTATGTATTCAATGTCTGGTCGTGTTTACTATGCTTGCTATGATACAATTGTTGTGATACTACGCATGACGTCAACCACCCCCGAACGTTTCCGCCGTTCCGGTTTGGGGGTGTGACATTTACACTCATGACCACCTCCAATGATTGTATACTTCAAACTGGTGAATGCTACGATCCCATCGTAGTCTTATATGTCATAACTAGCATTTTGGGCTAGGAAATTCTATTTATGTATGATCAACTCTTTATGTATCTTGTAGCTTCAAGTTTAAGGTTATACATATTACTCATTCAAAAAAAACTATTCGAATCAAAACTCACTCGTGAAGCCCAAAACCTAATTCCATACACTACAATCACTCAACTTGGGTTTGTAACCCGAATTTCCCGGTTCAAACTCTTATTGGACCAGGACCCTCTTATTGGGCCTAATGGTCCAATAAACTCTCAATTGGATTATTTTGGGCTAAGATACTTCATTTGGGCCCTAATTGGACCCACAAATTATTA